GACGTTGCAGAACCAAACCCCTAACCCCCCCCGGTTTTTGTGGGGTTTTTTCTAGGCAAATTTACGTCCAGTAGTTTGCCATTGCTTTTGGACGGTCAGCTTTCTTGATACCACTGTCGAAACCAACGCAAGGCGCATGGATGGCCCGCAGCTGGGATTCAACCTGGTATCCCTGCATTATGAAGCATTCCCATCGACTTAGCCACAGAGCCGACACACACACATATACATATATATATATATGTATACAGGGTTTCTGTAATAAAACTTTGTGGTGAGTTTTGACATCCTTTTTTTAGACACCCAGGTGAGTATACACACCTTTTTTTTCTAAAAAAAAAAACCTGTGTGTGAGTGGGCTTACGTACGTGCCTGCATGAGTGTGTTTGCGTACGTGTGCCTGCATGAGTGTGTGAATTATTCATGTGTGTGTTAATACTAATATTCTTAAAGATCTGACTATCAGGAAAGATTTGCTAATAAACAGCATCTTGTCTCTGAAGCTGAAATATTTTGGCAATATCAACTGCCACGGTAGACTGGAAAAAATAATAGCAGAAGGCGTGGTGCTGGGAAGAAGGGGCAGGGGTCAACCAACTGGATAGGATATGACTTCTTGGAAATGAAAGTGCAAGAGGCGGGAAAGCTGGCGAGAGACCAAGTTTCTTTCAGGCAGACCGTGATGAGAGCATGTCTGCAAAAGACCTGCTGCATGCTGATTATATATATATATATATATATATATATATATATATATATATATATGTACACACACATTTACGTACATATATGTAAACTGATTGCTCAATGTTCACAGATGCACAGTGGGCTACTAATGGTTGAAGGTGAGGAAGAGGCCTTGAAGAAGTCGCAAACTACTTACTTCAGGTTGTTACCAGAACGAGCGTACAAAGAAGGGTCAGCAAGCCAGATTCACTTCCGTTTGGCCGAGTCCCAGTTCTATAGACTCATGACTGGTGACTGCGCTAAAAAGTGAGTGAGTGTAGTTGGATAAATGTTGATTGTATTGTTTCCAACCTGTTTACAGTGGTGACCCTGCTAAATATATGGCAGGACCCTATGTGCTCTACTTTAATATAATAAAAATAGGATTAAAAAGAGGAAAACAAAAATAAAAGTACCAATTACTGTTAACAAGAACTTGGAGAAAAATGTCCACATACAAAAAAATTGTCCAAAAAACAAAAGAAACAATCACCAACAATAGGTAATTTAGTGTCCAAATATCAATGTGATGGTTGACACTGTTGTATCTTGATAATATCTGCTATTTTTGATCTGATGTTAGACAAGGTGCAACAGAGTTCACTCTCCATCTCAGGCTAGCTGTTTTGTTTTCATGACCGTTAAAGCTGTAAATCTGGACTATTACAAGTCAAAATGCACCTAATATTAAAAGTGCTTGACACCCCCCCCCCCCCATGATATCCATTAATGTAAAAAGTCAGTTTTTATAATCACCTATACTGCCCATGTCAGCATCTGTGGCTTTGATATTGCGAACCTGCTTCATAATGCCAAGGTGCTGGGTTTGATTCCAGCTGTTGGGGATTCGTCAGCAGACTGCCTTGCCTTGGGTTTGACAATGGTATTCAGAGCTGACCATTCAGTAGCAGTGGCAAACTACTAAACGTTTAAAAAAAAATTGCATAGTGAAATAACAAACAGCCAAAAAATGTAAAGGACAGAAAACAAACGTTTTTTAAAATTCTGCACATGATAATGTTGATTGTGTGGTGCTTGCTGATATGCTGTTACATATGCTAATGTTGATTGTGTGGTGCTTGCTGATATGCTGCTACATATGATAATGTTGATAGTGTTGTGTTTCTAGATATAATGTCCCATCATTTATGCTTACACATAAGAATGTTGCATATGCAATGTTTGCTCATAATGTTGTATGTAAAGTGTTTGCTGATGTCTGTATTATGATATCAGTTCTTGCCAACTGCAGTGCGGTATCTGTTATGTTTACTGATAATGTTGTTATAATGAGATGTATAATAACGGGTTTCTTCTTTACTGTATTGTTTTGTAATCTGAATTTGGCAGAACCCGTGTCACAAAAGTGGAGTATGTAGTGAGCCCACATGTTGTCAAGAGATTCAGGTAGGCTTCTTTTTATCCTTCATTCTTTCTTTTTTTGTTTTTGCGAGCAACCGTGGTGTAGCGGCTAGACGCTCGCCTGCAGATCAGAAGGTCATGGGTTGGGTCCTGACGGAGCCAGAACATTTTAAAAAATGACCTTGGCTCGCAGATCGACCCAGCCTTAAATGGGTACTAAGTAAAGTCCTGGGGAAAAAAGGTCAGTTTAAAAAAAGAATCCATTTTGGTATGAATTTTAATCTAGGATTAGCAGACTGGTTGACAAGACTGTCTGGTTGAAAAAGCGGTTTTGTCTGTTAACCACGGAAACATCAGCACAAAATGTTTAGCCAGCATTTAGTTTCAAACATCCTGTTTTTCACCATGTGGGTGCTGGGTTCCCATTGGGATGGAGGGGGAAATGGGGAGGGGGGCAAGAATAGATGCGCTACCATCCTAACAAGCATGCTGTACAAAGTGAATAAAGTTCAAGTTAGTTGCTTATCCTTTACAGGATGTCGCAGAACCAACCTCAGCATTTATTTGCTGTTGTGGTTTTTCTAGACAAATTTTTCACTCAGTAGTTTGCCATTGCTTTCTTAATGGTACCACTGTCAAAACCAGCGCAAGACAAATAATCCGCAGATGGGATCAAACCCGGTACCCTGGCATTATGAAGTGCGTTGACAACGCCTAAGCCACAGATGCCAACACATGGCGAATAATTAGGGAATATTTCCTAGGAAGTCAGAGTACATCTGTCTCAGCGATGAGGAACCAACAGTCTGCATATACATAAGCAAGATTTGTCAAATGGATTGCATGCGAAACTCAAATTCTGCACGATCAGTCCAGAAATGGATGAATAACCAAAACATTCCGTCAGAATTTTAGAAACAGAAACAGAAGAAGAAGAAGAAGAAGAAGAAGAAGAAGAAGAAGAAGAAGAAGAAGAAGAAGAAGAAGAAGAAGAACAAGAACAAGAAGAAGAACAAGAAGAAGAAGAAGAACAAGAAGCAGAAGAAGAAGAAGAAGAAGAAGAAGAAGAAGAAGAAGAAGAAGAAGAAACATCCTTTTTTTTAGTAAGATGATAGATTTTTGGCTGTTTGGGGGCAACAATAAAATCCAACCCTGCACAGTCCATGAGGACTTCACTAGCCATGGGGCACCAATCCTCAATCTCATGGCCTGGATTGTCTATACCACTGTAAAAAATGGTTAATGCAGATATCACAGACAGTTATATTTAAAGACAGCAAATGTGTGACTACATACATGCACCCACTGATGTGTGACCACATATATACACCCACAAATGTGTGACAACATACATGCACTCACAAATGTGTGAACACATACATGCACCCACAAATGTGTGACCACATACATGCACCCACAAATGTGTGACCACATACATGCACCCACAAATGTGTGACCACATACATACACCCACAAATGTGTGACCACATACATACACCCACAAATGTGTTACCACATACATACACCCACAAATGTGTGACCACATACATGCACCCACAAATGTGTGACCACATACATACACCCACAAATGTGTGACCACATACATGCACCCACAGATGTGTGACCACATACATGCACCCACAGATGTGTGACCACATACATGCACCCACAAATGTGCGTCTACATACATGCACCTCCAAATGTGTGACCACATGCATGCACCCACATTTGTGACCACACACATGCACCCACAAATGTGTGACCACATACATGCACCCACAAATGTGTGACCACATACATGCACCCACAAATGTGCGACCACAAACATGCACCCACAAATGTGTGACCACATACATGCGCCCACAAGTGTGTGACCACATACATACACCCACAAATGTGTGACCACATAAATGCACCGACAAAGGTGTGACCACGTATGTGCACCTGAAAAGTGCAACCACATACACATACCCCAAATGTGCGACCACATATGTGCACCTACATGTGTGCCCACAAGGGTGTGACCACATAAATGCACCCAAAATGTGTGACCACATAAATGCACCCACAAATGTGTGACCACACACATGCACCAACAAATGTGTGACCACATACATGCACCAAAAAATGTGTGACCACATACATGCACCCACAAAGGTGTGACCACATAAATGCACCCACAAAGGTGTGACTACATATGTGCACCTGCAAAGTGCGACCACATACACATACCCCAAATGTGCGACCACATATGTGCACCTACATGTGTGCCCACAAACATGTAAGCACTAAGAAATGGACTGATGACATGACTGTCTGTTTTCAGGGAGTATCAGAAAAAGTTGAAGAAGGAGAGAGGTGAAGAACTCTCCTACCCTGTCCTTGGCTTTCATGGCACAAATGAAAAAAACATCAAATCCATCTGTGAGCAGGGCTTTAAAACACCAGGTACTTTTCTGTGTCTGTGCAGGGCAGTAATTTAAACCTTTGAGTCAACTTACATACTCTAGACTGTATTACCAGGTGCTTCGGATCAGGTACTGTTAACTCAGGTACTGGAGACTGTGTACCCAGGTGCTACAGATTGTGTACCCAGGTGCTGGAGATTGTGTACCCAGGTGCTGGAGACTGTGTACTTAGGCGCTGGAGATTATGTACCCATATGCTGGAGATTGTGTACTCAGGCATTGGAGACTGTGTATCTAGTTGATGGAGACTGTACCCACATGCTAGAGATTGTGAACCAAGGTACTGGAGACTGTGTACCCAGGTACTGGAACTGTACCCAGGTACTAGAACTGTACCCAGGTACTGGAACTGTACCCAGATACTGGAGACTATGTACCGGAGATGGTATACCCAGGTACTTAAGACTGTGCCCAGGTACTGGATACTGCACCCAGGCACAAGAGACTATACACAGTTACCTGAGACTGTATCCAGGTACTAAAGACTGTCTACCCTAGTACTTGAGCCTCTTACACTGCTTGTCTTTCCTACCAACAGGTGACTCTGGTTTTCAACAAAAGACAGATGCTGGATTTTTCGGTGCTGGGGTCTACTTCAGTGAGTATCCGTCTTACTCCATGTCCTACATTCAAGGTGGCTCCAAGCTGATGCTGTGTCAGGTGTTACCAGGCAAGGTAAGTCTTGATAAAACTCATCTTCTTCCTTGCTAAAGCTGATTCATTCTGTGGATCATGACACTCTCACTCTGCTACAACTTGATTAGTTTACCATTTCATCCTTTCATGTTATAAATGGGCCAGTTCGTGGGTCAGCTTATCCATGCCTAGATAAAATATTAGTGTTTAGAGATGCAATTATTGTAGGTACAGCTATTATTGGGAGCTGCTGCGGTGTAGTGGCAAGATGCTTGCCTGTGGATTGGGAGGTGGTGGGTCCAGGTTCTGACAGAGCCAGACTTTTTTTAAATGACCTCCGCTTTTAGGTTGACCTAGCCTTAAATAAGTATAAGGTAAAGTCCTGGGAAGTAAAAGTTAGCACAGTGCACAGGGTCTGTAGCAGGGGCGAGGATCCTGGAATACTTTGGGTAGATTTAAAATTCTAAATTATGTCCAGGCAACGCCGTTAGGCTGCTCTTTTTGATTTCCAACTGCCAAGGAATTTTTTTAACGTGCGCAACAATGCACATGGGCGTCCGATCTCATTACCCAGAGACCAGGGGGAATTACTAGAAGTCCAAGTCCATGTGAAAATATACCAGCCCATACCAGGGATTGAACCCAAAACCTCTCAAACTCGAGGTGGACACCATGCCTCGAGACTATGCAGCCCCCTCAAACCTCAAATCGTGGCTGCTACGGGTTTTTAGTTCCCCCATCCCGCAGATCCACCTTCATGATTAAAGTGACTGTCAACTCTGACAATTCCCTATACTTTAGAGAGACTGTCACTAGAGAACATCCAGGCCAATGCACAATATCTTGTGAAGAACCACGGAGACCTCCTGTCTGCGGCATGTCATGTTACTTCAAGATATCCTGAATATCTCAGATCATGAACCCATCACGCTGGAACCTTGTTACTGCAGCAACTCCTGCAGACAACATGAGCACTTGATTCCGTTACCCAGGGTGCACAAGTCCTAGACTAAAACCTACATTCCCACATGTCAACAGAGCTCACTGATAAGGCCCTACAGTGGTGCATTTGAGAACAGCATCAGTTTTCAGGGACTCTTGACAGTGCATCCTTCCTCTCCAATGTCGTAGAGTCAACTGCTCCTGCGACTTCAGGGAGTGAACGGCCTCTAACATCAACACACAGGTCATCATATCCACGTGAGTTCTCTCATACCTAGCATGGAGACAGTGGTTCACATTCATTCCTACAACTCCGCATGGTTTTCTCCCCTTACATGGCTTAATCCAATTGGGTCAGCGGTTCAATTTACATATTACCCCAATAAGTTTAAATCTGAACTCCAAGGGACATAAATGTTGTAAATGCATGGACTATTTTCCCAAAGGACATAACCGTTTATATATCTATGCATTGCTCACAGTAGGAGGCTGGCGTAAGAGTCGACTAATTGGGGAGCTTCCTTTGAAGTCGGAGTGCATCTGCCAGAGAGGCGAGGAACCAACAGTCTGTATTCAAGAGAATGAGATTTATAAAACTGATGCACACGCAACACTCAGGTTCTGGAGCAGGACTGCAGTTCAGTGGTGGACGAGCAACCAGAACTTTCCGCAAGTGTACAGCTGGTGAACGAGAAGAAGAAGAAGAAGAATCCAATGTCAGTGATGAGAGTGGCTAGCAAGACCCATTCATGTTAAGAAAAGTCTTCCACAGTTAGAAAATTACAACTGGCATCCTGTGTGCAGAGTGGCTTGCATCACTTGATAAACTCATATCAGGAGTATATAATGGATTTTCTGTCCAGGATGTTCAGTTCTGTGAGGTAATGAACAGCCTGATAGATATGCTGTTGTGGCTCCTCTTGGCAGTGGGCTACTTATGATAAAGTGGACATGGTGAAGACTGTCTGGGATCCTATTATTCAATGGGGAATGAGTAGATGTCCTGGAAGATATCCAAAGCCGAAAGGGGAAATAGGTGGACTGTTAATCAGGTTGCAGCTGGTACTGTTAACATGTTGACTCTTTATTGGCTGCTTAAGAAGGGGATGGAGCACATGTGGAAATGTCCCGAGTGCAGCGATGTCTATCCTTGATTGATTGATTGATTGATTCATCTATTCTACTGTTAAAGCATATGATTTGAGAGCCATTGTTGCTAGTGCATGTATTTTAAGAGCTTTTTCTCAGGCACTCAGCTCTGAACCTGTTTGCAATAATTTTTTCATTTATCCCTATTCTTTTCCTGATTTTACCATCTCTCTATACAGCATGATCCATGGCATCCTATTCCCAGAATTCACCTTAATACCTGTATCATTCGGGGAGTGAATCTGCAACCATGGTCAGACTGCAAGAACAGCAAGTTAAACAGGGTGTCGCCAAACAAGAACATTATGCAGGTAGCCAAAGAAGAAGAATAAACTAAGACAGAACTGGAGTCGTTGGCGGCTACAGGCTGCTGGAGTTACTGAGGAGGGGATCCGAGCACTTATGAACTCAGTGGTTCAACATGCAGTGAGGATAATCTGTCGACTAACTGACCTGTATCATTTATGTTCTGCTTACACACTTGTGTATATCGTAACAGAGGCCAACTTTAACTTTTTATACTCTTCTGTAATCCACCAGAGGATATTTATGTTTGGATATCCCGAATATTACACATTAGCAATAAACTACTTGACCTAGACGAAAAACCTACTGAAAACTAAACTTCAGTGAACTAACACCAGCAAAAAACTGCATTGCAGACAACAGTATTGCAGATATGGACATGTATTGCAAGTGAATGAAAGGAAAAGGATGTAAATGTACATAAAGAATGTCAATGCTGACCGATATAAATGTTGTGGGAACAGCTACTACTAATATTTGTATATTTATGGCTACGTGGAATTTCAGTGTTAATTATAAAAATATCGAATGAATACCTGCAAAAAACATCTGTGTGTGACTATGAAACATACCAAAATGTTAATGTGTAGATTAAATATCAGTGTTTTTTTTAATGTAAATGTTATATAATTAGTATTTTTTTTTTGGGGGGGGGGGGGGGTGTAAATGAATGTGATTACTATTTGTTGATGTAAATGTAACATGAATAGTGTTTGTTGGTGGAAATTTTATGTGCCCATTATTTGTTAATCCAATGTTACCTGATTAGATTTTAATTGTGTAAATGTTACATGACTAGTGTTTGTTGGTGTACATGTTATATGATCCGTATTTGTTGGTGTAAATGTTATGTAATAAGATTTTGTTTGCGTAAATGTTACATGACTAGTGTTTGTTAATGTAAATGTAATATGAATAGTGTTTGTTGGTGTAAATGTTACATGAATAGGGTTTGTTAATGTAAATGTTACATGATAAATGTTACATGACTAGTGTTTGTTGGTGTAAATGTTGCATGAAAAGCGTTTGTTGATGTAAAAGTGTCACAAAAGGTGTTTGCTGGTGTAAATGTTTCATGGCTAGTATTTTTGTATGTTAATGTTACTTGACTAGTGTTTGTTGGTGTACATGTTACATGAAAAGTGTTGGCTGGCGTAGACACTAGACACTAGAACTTCAATGTCAAGAGTTACCTTTATCATAGGTCTATGAATGTCAGTCTATGATTGTGGGAGCAGCTTTGATGAAAGGCTACGACTCTCATATGTCTCCTTGCAAGAAGGAATTGATCATCTTCAACTCTGCAGCCATCCTTCCTTGCTACATTATCTATTTCCAGAACGCTAAATCAGATTTCAAGTATGCTCCATCAACATCAAAGGTGAGACATCTTCTTCTTTTACTGCTTCATTTGCCATTAGAAGAGCAGTTGGTATGTTGCATTGTGGTTTACAGCTTGGCTGCACTATCTAGACTTTTTGGCCCAATACACGCGATTTCAGTAAATCTCGAATTAGTCACATTTCATGACGTGATTGTTAACTTCTTTTCTCCCCAATAAAGTGCAATGTTTGATCAGCTGTTGTTTGTGAGTATCAAACATCAGTTGGTGCATAATTACATCTTGTAGATTTGGTCTGAGCGTACGAAGGAATATCATCGTCATTAGGTCATTTACAAAACGTCACACTCCTCATGGCACACCTGAAAGTTTCTCCTTCTCCAGCCAAATTCTGCAGCCCTATGTGCTTTCATAGCCAGTATATCTTCAATGTCCTGTATCCACATTCCCTAGGGTCTGCCTCTACCTCATTTCCTGAAAATACTACACTCCATCAATATTTTCTCAGCCACTCTGACATTTAACAAGGCCAAAATACCTTGGCTTTCCGGACAGGATGCTGTTTATGAGCCAGTTCTCGATGTTCAGATCATGATGCAGATGCAAAGGGTTAATATAGCATCTGTCTGGGAGAGGAGACAGCAGAATATGAAATTGTCTGTTGGATGATGGAGAAATATGTGCTGAGTTGTTTGGTCCTGAAAGAGTTAAACGCTAGCAGCTGGTCACAAGTTGCACCTTGTAGTCTCAGATGAGATAGTTTCTTCTGCTTCTTAGCCTTCACCGACTGTAAACTCCAGTGAAAAGCCCTGGTTGTTCGTCCATTTCTGGACTTTGATCTTGTTCCAAAAAATTGAGTATTGTGTGCACATCCATTTTACGGATCTTGCTTATTTCTATGCACACTGTTGGTTCCTTGCTTCTCAGGCAGATTAACTCTGACTTTAGAGGAAACTCCCCTAATTAGTGCCTTGTATGACACGTTTGTAAGGCAGTGCATTTATTTCTCTCCCATGATTCCCCCCCTCCCCCCCCCCCCCCAACCCCCCCCCCCCCATTGGGGCCCTGACCCACACAGGCAGAGGAAATAGTTTAAAACCGAGCTTGTACTGCACGATATGTACAAGTACGCCCACTTTAGGAAAAGAAATAAATTGACAACCGGAAACATGTATGGAAAAAGAAATAGAGGAAGGCAGCAAGGTAAGATTTCACATAGCCTTTTCTCTAGGCGAAGACAAATATCAGTGTCATTAATTTATAGATACTGTTGAAGATCAAAAGATGCAGAGTGGCATCTTCACCCATGACCATAAGCAAGGCACTTGATGATGATTATAGACAATATCCTTCTTTAGTTTGATATCATTACTAACTTACTTAACTGTAAAGATGAAAAATTATTATTAATTTATTCTCTTATTACTACCTTAATAGACTGTATTGAGAAAATGCTCTTGACACCGAACCGTCTGTGTAAATAATCAAATCCTCTGAGCAAGCATCATTTTGAATTAATTGCTGAATTTCCATCTGTGTGGCACGAGCTGGCCAGTCTCTGCATTTCCGGCTCAATGTGATTATGACCCTACACAAGTCTGACTGTTCAGGTGGCACTTTGATCCACTCCTCTCCTCGCCTAATGTTCTCAAGGATGCAAACCTGTCTGACTGTGTCTTCTGCCTGAGCCATCCATGACTTCCCTCTTATCAGCCTCTAACCCTCAACTGCACCCAGAGCTTCGTGCAAAGGGTGGTCTGTGTCTACAGTTACCTTGAGATATGATTTCGCCTGCAGCACCTTGTGCCTACCTGCAACAGACATAAACCATGGATGTATCGCATACATGCCACTGGGGTGTCTCTGGTGCAACCCAGAATGACCCACATAGCTGCGTTCTGTATGCGCTGTAGTTTGTCCATCTGGCTGTATACAATTTTCTGAATCATTACTATCTAAATGGACTGTACAGAGTAAATTTCCATCATTAATCACTTTAGTCAAAGAAAATCTTCATGGACTATATTGATTTTTTTTCAATCATTCTATATTGATTTATTCAATCGTTACTACCATAATGGACAACATAGAGAGAATTGGTTGCATTCATTTAGTCAGTAATTACTACATTGAGGCGCTGGATCTGTAGAATATCCATCACTGATTTATTTTCAGACAGCAAAACACGCCAGTGGGGACGTTACATCAACATCTGTCTCAAAGTCAGTGATGTTTGATATAGTATTTGTGTGAATGTCTGATGTAGAGGAATGTAATTGATTATTCTGCATCTGAGTGTCTAAAAATGGCTGATGACCTTTTGATTGTCTGATTTTGTGAAAATGTCTGTTTGATGATTGCGTGAATGTCAGATTTGGTAAAATAACTGGTTGATAAATGTATGAATGTCTGATTTAGTGAAAATGGCTGTTTGATGATTGCGTGAATGTCAGATTTGGTAAAATAACTGGTTGACAAATGTATGAATAGTTGCGGTCGGGCCGAATACCAATAGTGGTTACCTTACACCCGCTTCTGCATACAAGGCCTTAATACTGACAACATGGAACAATTGGTTTTGTTGAAAGCTAATGCAGCTTTCATGCATTAACTAAGCTGTCAGTGACAATTTCCAAGTTTAGTTACTTGTTATAATACTGAGATACTTTCATTCCTAGTTATTAGTTACCAGAGACTGACTGAAGGATACAAGTCATTAAATATTTTTTTAATGTTTACTATTCTGTACGAATACTAAGTAGACATGGAAAGAATATAAACTCCGGCCATATCCAAGTCGATAATATGAAAATCAAATGAACGGAAACATCTAAGTACTTGGGTGTAAACTTCAACTGCTCCAACATGCTGAGAGAAGAAATACAATCTAGAATACAATCTAGAAATAAAGTATACTATGCCCTTCAACATCTGCTAAAGTCAAAGTGACTGTCTTGCAACACCAAGATCAAAATATATAAAACGTTGATAAGACCAGTCGTTTTAAATGGCTCTGAAACTTGAAGCAGAAATAAAAGAGATGAGGCCTTATTACAGGTTTTAGAAAACAGTCTTACGACAAATCGTTGGATACATCAAAAATGCTAACAGCGGGGAATGGAGAGTGAGAAGCAACAAAGTAACACAAATCTGTTTAAATCACTATTGATCACTGGCATTATGAGAGCTAACAGACTAAAATGGTTGGGGCATATTGAAAGAATGTCAGATGATAGAAGTAAAACTGTATACACCTGAGTGAGGAATGGGCATAGACCACAAGGCAGACAAAAAAGAAGTTCGAGAGATAATGTCTAGTCAGACCTGCAAACAACTGGTGTCTCAAATTGTGAAGATAAGGCCAGCCAGAGAGATGAATGGAGACGAGTAATATCTGCAACAGTAAACCTCAAGGACTCAGAACGCTAAAGAAGGACGACTATTCTGTGCTACTTTATGTGAAGTAAAAGTTCAGCGTACATTTGACATTATGAATGTGTGGGGTAAGGGTAGAAGAGTGACTTGTAAGGGAGGGAGCAAGTTAAAGAGAGAGGTGAAAGAAGAGAGAGATGACAAGAATAAAAAATTCTTTGTAGCTCATACAGCGTAGGTAAACAAAAAAATTCCTTTCCTGATGTAACATTCATTACAAATGTACCATTTGTAAACTGCCACCAAATTTCGAATTGAAATAAATTTAAAAATAAAATGTACTCTCTGTTTCTCTCTAGAATCTTTAAAGGCATGAACTTTGCCTTGACTGGGAAACTGTCAGACACACAAGCACACCTGTTTGATTTGATTCAACAACATGGAGGAAGCAAAGGTGAGCAGTTGGATAAGCTAATGTATTGTCCCAACAAGCATTGGCTATTGTGTTACACCATCTCATGCAATCATAAGAATCATGAATCAGGTCAATGTTCTTATCTTGCCCCACTCTGTATGGCTAAACTATCCAAGTACGTATCCCTCTGCCTTACTCTCTTTTTATCATTCTTGCTCGTTGTCACCAAGTTCTCAAGTCCATTTCTTCTCATAACATGGCTGAAAAACACAGACTGTCATTGTCTAGCTTCTCTAATCTGTTTATGGTTTTCAACATCTGCATGAGAAATCACTCACTTGTTTTTTTATCATTCCTTGATATTCTTTGCATTCTTCTGAAAAAATGCTCATCTGCTGCAAGTAAAGATTTCTCAGCTTTTGTGTTGTTGTTATTTGTTGACTGGTGTTTCCTGTAATTTGTGGTTTCTGTGTTTTTTTTGTATTTACATGTGGCACAGTAAACACTTTTGAACCGTGAATGGTTAAAAATATAGGCCATGAAGCCATCGAAAGTTGTGAAAAAACTCATTAAAAGAAAAAAAAAAACTATTTTACACAAATAGATAATTTAAAAAAAAGTGTTTACATTAAAAAAATTCTTTAAAACCTGGGGGGGGGGGGGGGGGGGGGGAGATAGTGAACTACTTCACAAGTAAATAACAATTGTTAAAAATGTTTATTTATGTATATTTTTGACAATTGTTGAAAGAAAAACCTTGAAAAAAAAGGAAGAGAAAAAAACTTCTTCTTCTTCTTCATTCACCCTTGAAAAGGTTACTTTTATGTTGTGTTGTGGTTTATAGCTAGATTGTGATGCATGCATATTTCAGTCCAATATATATATAAATAATTTAAAAAATTAATAGGTTCTGCTGTCCGATTGTGGAGTAAACAAAATTAGACACATGGCCTCCCCAACAAGTATGTTGTAAGAATTGACTTAATGGGGCTTTCTTTGAAATTGGAGTGCATCTACCTGAGAAGTAAGGAACCAACAGTCTGCATATAAGTAAGCCATGTTGGTAAAACGAATATGCACACAACACTCATGTTCTGGAACAAGACAAAAGTTCAGAAATGGATGAATAACCAGAACTTTCTGCTCGGACTTTGCAGCCGGTGAACACAAATAATAATAATAGTAATAATAATAATAATAATAATAAGAAGAAGAAGAAGAATTAGTTGCCTGATATGATATGCATGTTTGGGGTGGTGGGCCTATTCTTATTTTCAGAGAATTGGCACTGGAACAAAAACCCAAGAGCAACCTTTGCCAACCTGCACACTGGACAAAAACCCAAGAGCAACCTTTGCCAACCTGCACACTGAAAAAAAAAATCCTTACATAAAATTAACTTAGTGGATGCCTGAAAACATGCATTTAACTGTCTACAAAATTTCAAAATTCCGCCTAAACAGAATGTCACAATTCTGTCACTACAAAATGACACAATTCTGTCACTACAAAATGTCACAATCCTATTTCAGTTTAATGTCAAAATCCTACCTCAGGTGAATGTCAATATCCTACCTACACAATATGTCAGAATCCTATCACTACAAAAATGTCAACCCCCCCCCCCCCCCCCCCCCCCTTCCTCGAGTGACAATAAAAGGAAAACCAAATCCTACTTCGACAAAATGTCAAAATTCTACCATAGCTAAATGTCAAAATCCTTCCGCCACAGAACATTACAGTCCTACCTCCACTACATGTGACAGAGAATAAAGATAATGTGTAATATGTTTGCTAATTATTTCCAGTTATCATTAGGGTGACCATGCCTCCCATTTTCACCGAGACAGGCTAGTTTTTTTAAGCATGTCCTGGTCGTCCTGTCAGTGCTAAAACAAAACAAAAAGTTGTCAATTGTCTTATTTCATAATTACCTATAGAATAAAACATCCATTTATATCTGTAAACATGATCAGATCTCACAGTTTTAGATACTGTACTTCTAATACCTGAAGTGTGTTTATGGAAATATTCATTGTAGCATGTTTTTTTTTAAAAACCATAATGCAGTTACATAACATACTGTTTTGTTCATTTTCTGTATGACAGTTGTTAAGGTATAAATATCATTGTCAAACGAGTAATTGACCCTCTCACCCCGGTGACCTTCGAGAGAAACTGGGGTGTGGTTAAACTGACTGGCTTTGGATGTCCCAGTTTTAGCTCAAGATATAATAGTCATATTAGTTATCATATAATACTGATGATGAGGATGTAAATATAATTTGTAAACAATTTGCCAACACACCAGGAACAAAGGCCTGCTTTGACATCTTGGTTGTCCCTGACGACAACAGTGAGCACACATCGGCGAAAGTTCAACAAGCTATGAAGAAAGCCGTAAGCCGAGCTTGTGTTTCTTTTATCAAGTTTTAATGTAATATTTAACTCCAGGAAATATTGTTCCTCTGGGTTCATGGAAAAGTTGGAGGGGAGAACAGGCAGAATGAGACTGAGAGAAAAGATGCTGGACAGTTAGACATCATGGCATGGAAAATCATCTGTATAAGAATTGATTGAAAGTACACAAGTACACAAGATGTGGATAGACATGACTACCAATGCCACACGACATTGATTTAAAAAAGGGATCCTGGGCCATATTTTGGGGTGAAAAAAGGACTTAACCCAATGCCTTCTAAATCATCTCATGCTGTCCAAGGAGGTTTCCATAAATGCAGAGCTGATATATGACGCTCTGATACTGGGCTCACCCAAGGAGTGATCACATCCTGCACATGACTGCTTATGTCACATCCATACATTCAACCTTCCATTCATTATGGCCTCGTCCTTAGGGAGTCTCCAGGAAGCAGTCTGAAGACCTGAGACAGTGATTCCCTGCACGTATGGGCTCGTCCTTAGGGGGTCTCCAGGAAGCAGTCTGAAGACCTGAGACAGTGATTCCCTGCACGTATGGGCTCGTCCTTAGGGGGTCTCCAGGAAGCAGTCTGAAGACCTGAGACAGTGATTCCCTGCACGTATGGGCTCGTCCTTAGGGGGTCTCCAGGAAGCAGTCTGAAGACCTGAGACAGTGATTCCCTGCACGTATGGGCAGCTCACTTCCTCAGCATATTAGACACGTGGCTGCCTATTTGACCCTTGCCAAGCCAAACTGTACTTTTAGTGTCACACCAATGTTTTGGTAGGTTTTAGAAAGTTTGCATCAATATTTTAAATTTTGGCATTGTGTTGAACTTTTAAAAAAAGTGGGTGCGAGGGGGAGTTGGAAGTGTACTGAAAAAATATACATTTGTCTAATACAGCAGATGTTTCAGAGTTTTCTGTCCTGTGAATTCTTTGCAAATCTAGGGTTACTTGAGGGGGTGGATCCAGTAAGCATTACTGAAGGAAGGACCAACATCAGTTATGCTATTGGTCATGTAATGTTGCATCAAAAATGTTGGCAGCCCTGGTTAGACATTTCTCTCTGACATTAGCACTGTTCACCTGGATGTGTCATGGCATAGCTTCCCTGTGTGGTTATTATACTCCGACTAGTGTGGCCATTGGTAGCAGATATTTGAACCTTTTGTGTAAGATCTTTGAGTGAGGAGCATCTGAACCTTTCCCATACAGTAGGACACTAGATGGACGGACATTTGAACCTAAACAACTATAGAGTAGGAGTCTCAATCTACCGATGTTTATACTAAGGGTTTTCACACGTTAGGACTTTTTGACAACAGACATATGAAGCTGAGTTTGTGATTTAGTAGTGTATTTAGCCAGCGAACCTTACTCATGTTTCAAATGAGTTTTCCATGAACGTTCCACAAGGCATTGGCTGACGAGTGCCAGAGGATGTCTGGACGCTGTATCTCTGGGAACGACCGCTCCGAGATCCCCTGCCAGTTTGGTTTAGACTGATAAAGGCTATTACACAAAGCACACGACGGGGACGTGATGTAGGAGTCTTGCACGAGGACCCGCAAAAGTGCTGCCTGTTGGCACCCACGGTGAAGTAGAGAGTATCTCCTTATACACATCACAAAGGCCCTAACTTTTTCTCAGGTCTGTGACCGAAATCACTGTGCTGCAGCTGACAGTTTAAAAAAAACTGCTGCTTCTTCTCATTCTTCTCCTTCTTTCTCTTCCTCCTTGAATATGCTGGTCGCATGTTGTCTTGGGGTTTACAACTAGGCTCCAGAATATGCTCCTTTCAGTCTGAGCCACTTGATTTCAACAAATGCCTAATTAGTCCCATTTTGGATATGCTCGTAAAGGAACATTGGGTCTATTCTTGTTTTTCCCTCTCCCTAATCTGTGTTCCCAGACCTACATGGGGATACAAAAACTGTGAATGTTGGATCTTTGTGTTTTCATGTTTGGTTTTTCTTCCTTTTTCAGGTTCCCATAGTTCGTGAGGCATACATCTTTGACTGCATCAGCATGAAAGCAAAACTGCCATTTGATGACTATGGTATTGATGACTGAGAGTCTGTGTACACACAGTCTCCAAGTATATAATTTAAAACAGTGATTTCTGATTATGAATTTTATTTAATTAAAGAGACAAAAAATAAATTGAACAATTTTCTTCCTGGCATATGTTACTGTCATTCAAATTTGTTTTGGGTTTTAACATAGCCAGGGAAAGTTAGAGAACCATGAACGATGTGAAAGGAAAGATAAATGCATTAAAAAACAAATGCCTGAGGAAAATGGTCAACATAGAATGGACTGAATTCAAAAGGATTGAAGAAATCAGAGAAAGGTCTGGGCAGCCACTTGTATCAACAATGAAAGAAAATGAAACTGCCAAAAGACTGGCCATGTCTGCAATGGCTGGTGGAGAAAGAAATATGAAGAGGACACACATACTGAATGTGCTGTGTTTCAGAATGTTTAGACCAAGAAGTCAGCAGTGATGAACCGTCCGCTGGAAATAGGTATTAAACGAGGTCAAGCATACAGAAACAGGTCATAGGGCAAAGAAGGAAGGTATGGCAACCATCTCCTGCTGGGTACATTGAGCATAGAGACGCTAACATAGCTGACAGAGGAGGCACAAATGGGTCGGGCTCATATGCTAGGATGTTGATACTGACAACATAAGTGATCCTCCTGCTGATATTTTTCTCCAGGTCATGCTGGTGTGTTGGGAAATGAGCAGGCATACAAACTGGTTGATTCTGCACTACTTGGTGGTGAACTGTTGTATAACAAGCTAGATGTTTTTAGGTCCCTTTGGTCACGAGTGGATAGTGAGGAAGCACTGATAGATCAATACAGTCGGAGGAGAATGGCACTGTGAGGAGTTACCAGGGGATTTGGCCGACGCTAAACACTCAGTGGAAAGGTGAGATGGATATACTGTCAGACAGATAATGGTACCATTGGAATTTGAACTGTTCATTTGCTGCTGACGATGGGGATGGAGTGCTTATGAGAGTGTCACAAGTGTTTTGCTGTTGATTCTTAATTCAACATTCAACATACCAACAACAAGTAAGAAGTGTAAATTAACCTGATGTTCACATGGTTAACCTCTGACCTCGGTTCTTGAGATTAAAGTTATTAACAAGAAACAGTGTGATTCTGAAATATCAGTTGAAAGAATTCATGTTTTGAAGAAACCCTGTTCAAACAAAATAAGCTGTATTCAGGAACCTGTAGCCAAAAGCTTGCCAGCTGGCCCAAATGTCTTGGGTTCACATCCGTAGCAGGCAAATTCAGAAAGAGAAGTATGATCTTGACTCCCAGTCACAGGCTAAAATTGGTACCAGAAAATTACTGGGAAGTAAAGGTGATTGGTGTGATGTTGATCACATTACTCATCAAATGCTGATTGGTTTATAACATTTTAAATCTACCATCCGATGCACTTCTGGCTTTGGTAACCTGTGACAACTACATAATGCGGTGTACCCTGTTAGTTGCCTATCATTTACATGACGCTGCAGAACCAAACCAAGCATTTTTGTTTTCCAAGATTAAGGTCTAAAGGATGAACACCTCGAGGACGAGGATCAAACAGCTACAAATCCCAGAAACCCAGTTCTGCTGCAATGCAGCAAAGGCTAAAGGTTACATAGTAACCTGAAGTCTGGACCAGGCAGGGATTTGGATGGTTGGGGGGGGGGGGGGTTTGAATGATATATCTAATAAGGCACCACTTTAGTTAAAAAGTAACATGATGTCCAATAGGTGTGTGTGTGTGTGTAGTGGGGATGGGAGGGGGGCAGGATTGGGAAAACGGGGGGGGGGGGGGCTGGGGGGGGGTTGTATTAGTGTGGATTGACACCACCTCCAGGATTACAGTCTGCAGCATTGACACCTCAAGGGTGAGAATCAAACAGGTACAAATCCCATAAACCCCGTTCAACCTTATAGCCATAGTAAACAGAAAAGGAAGGGACCCTTTTGTTAGTTAGTTAGTTGGGTTATCATCATTGCACTCCGGACATGTCCATAGGTGCTCAGATCCTCCCCTCAGTATGAACCCCAAAGTTTCCCCGGCTTCAGGTGTGTTAGAAATATAGGGCTAGTCTATATTTTATAGACCAATCGACACTTGGTGGGTGATGTGGTGAGCATAACGCCGGCCATCTTTACTTCCCAGAACTGCACTTAGTACTCACTCAAGGCTGGCTCGCTCTGGGAAACAAGGTTATTTTTTGAATAAAGCTCAGCACCCGAAGCCACGACTCTGTGATGTGCAGACGAGCCTCTAACCGCTACACCACGGCGACTCCTGTATCCATATAGCACAGTTATATTGGGGCACCAGGGAACGGTTGCAAGTAACCCAAATTTTACCTCACTAGGGACATCACACAGAGCGATAAACACCCAGTGACACAAAGTGCCACAATGCGGATGAGGATCACCCGTTCAACCGTCAGGTTATATTGCGGACAGTATAGGCGGTCAGAAGTCTGAGAATGTTGACAACCAAGACAAGAGACAGAAGGCTACTAAAGGTGCATTGTACCCCTTATTATTGAGACAGCTCCTAACTGATGGAGTGATCAATCCTCCAACGCAGTCTCTTGGTCGTATTTATCCCATTCTATGCTAGAATTAATTGTATTTTATTCTCAGCTAGCGTGCATTGGCAACATGTTGTATTGTCCCGCTACATCTACTGTTTCGTCTTAATGTAATCCTGTATTTCAGAACCCTGATCCAGTTGCGTGTTTGGTGATTATGTCAACGTTAATTGATTCGGCGCAATCTAGAATCGTCGATCCTGTCCGTTTCATGTGACAGAATCGATCATTGTTGTTTATTTGTGTATCTCCGTACTAGAGTCCCTGGCTGTGATTTGAAGCACAAAGCGTCGACACACTTTTGTACGAGCTTAATGTCCATGTTGAGTACAACACAGGAGCAAG